TCACTCTGGAGAATAGGAGAGGTTTTTCCCCCCTTTCTTTCCTTTAAGACGTTAGCCTTTTTCTCAGACTTTTTAAAGACCCATTCATCTACTCCAGAAACTTAATTTTGATGATTTTTGTCTGTGTGGAAGCATGAGGCGCCTGTCTTGCAGTGTAGAACATCTCGGTTGGAGGCAAATGTTGGCAGGGACCTTAATTACAGAGGTGTCTTAGTTCGGCATTTTGTGAGGGGCAGCACGTCCGAGGCCTAAGGGTCTTCCGCAGAGAGAAACACCTTCAGGTGTTCTGAAGGCCTTCCCTCTACACGGAGCAGCGGAAGAGAGAGAGAGAGAGAGAATCTAAAACACTGCCTGCAGATCCGTACCATACCTCCATTATATAGTCACCATGCATCTTAGAGTCTCTTGGGACACTTGTCCAATGACCAAACAATAGCTCTTGCAAAATGTCGCGGTGCTAACCATTGGCACACTGGTGATGAGCTACAGAGTTTTTCCCCTCTTCTTATGCTTTTCTCTACGTTGTGACAACAGATATAAATTTTCTTATAAAACAATACAGAATGGAGGTTTTAAAAAAAAGTCTTGCTCCTTTTGAAGTGGCATTTGACTCTCGAAATGTCTTCTTTGCTCTGCTTTGGGCAGGGTTGTGGTTTCAGCACAGATACTCACGAACCAGACTGGTTGGGTGAGTTCTCACTTAGCTACTCAGGAGCTTGCCTGCCTCAGTTCGTGTCTTGACCTTTCTCGGTACCAATTTCCTCATGGGTCAAATGGAGATATTGGTGGCCCCAGGAAGAAAGGTCTGGAGATCAACTTCCAAGAATTGTCCAGTGAAAACCCTGTGGATCACAAAGGTCTGACTACTAACTGGCCAACGGCACAGGACTGGGAAGTGTCTTTCTCCATTGTGCATGGGGTCACCATGTGTGGGGAGCTGGCCTGACAGCAGCTGACAACAGATAGCACTCTTTGGGGAATCCGATACCCATGTATCTCTGAGAGAGCGCATTCCCTAGCACTGAGGGCCTCCTCACTACTGGGTCTTACCACTGTTACTCATATACTTATTG